ATATATATATATATATATAATATATATATATATATATATATATAGATTCTTTGGGATGCGTACAGATTCCTATTGATTCATGTTGGTTCCTGTTGAATCATATTGATTATTTGTGGTTGCTATTGGTTCCTGTTGGTTTCCAATTATATTTATCGCCTCCGATTGATTCCTGCAGTTTCCAAATGATTCTAATCGATTTCGATGGATTCTGATTGCTTCCTATGTATTCCTATTGGTTCCGGTGAATTCCCGTGGGTTCCACTTGAATCAGACTGATTCCTATCGATTCCTATTGGTTCCCATTGTTTCTTGAAACTTATTGTTTATTCATGCTGAATCTTACTTAATATTTTTGATTATTTCTGATGCCCTTTGATTGTAAATTGAATTTTGCTGGTTCCCATTATTCCGATCAACCCCGGTTGATTCCTATGAATTCCGATGGCTTCCAAATGATTCCTATGGATTATATTTGTTCCCTAATGACTCTTAGCGGTTCCTATGGATTCCAATTGCTTCCGATGCATTCCGGTTGGCTCCGATTGTTTCTCATTGGTTCTTATTAGCTCTGATCGATTTCTATGGGTTCCTGCTGCTTCCAGTGGATCCCGATTGGTTCCGAATGATTCCTATGGACTCTCCGGGAATTTGTTGGGAGTCTCAAGAACCCTCCGGGAATCCGGAAGAACGCTTCCGCATCCATGTGGAACCTCCAGGACCCGCGAATATCTTCAGGAACTCGCAACTATTTAAAAGAATCCCAGGGAATCCTCAGGACTCCGCAAGAATCCCGAGACACATATTCGAACTCTCTGGAACCCTTAATAAAAGAGTCCTCAGGCATCCCCAGGGATCATCCGGGTTCGTCCAGAAAACTCAGAAATCATTGGGGATCCTCCGGGACCATGGGGAATCCTCAGGAGACATGACGCGTCCTCAGGAAACCTTCAGAACCTGGAGAAAACCTATGGGATCCTTCGGGGTTCTCCTGGGGATCCTCCAGAAATCATCAGGAGCCAAGGGGCGTCCTCGGGAATCTTGGGGACGCCTTAGGAATCTCCAGGAATCCAGAAAAACTCACAGGAATCCACAGGACTCGTGAGGAACCCGGTTAAGAAATTTCAGAACACATGCACGAATCCTCTGGGATTTCCAGGAATCATCAGACGGATGAACAATCCCGCCAAATCCTGAACAATCCTTCGGATTTTTCGAGGGATCCTTGGGAATCATCAGGACTTAAGGGGCGTCCCCGGGATCTTCAGAAACCTGTAGGAATCCCCAAGAGTCCGCAAGAATTCTGGAAACCCTTGGAAACGTGAGGAACCCTTTTTTTCAAAAATCCATGGGTATTCGTACGAATCCTCAGGAATCCCAAGGAACTATCAGCGCTGACGAGATATGCTCAGAAACCCTCTGGATTCCTTCGGCATTCTCCGAAGGATCCGTAGGAATCATCAGGAGCCCAGGGGCGTCCTCGGGAATCTTCAGGAACCCCTGGGCTTTTTCTAAGAACGCATAAGATGTCATAGAAATCCTCAGAGATTGTGAGAAACCCTTTGAAGAATCTCCGGGAAACCTGACGAATCCTCAGGAAGCCCGAATCATCAGCGATGACGAAGAATCCTCAGGAACCAGATGCGTCTTGAAAGTTCCTTAAGGATCCCCGGGTGTCCTCAGGAAACCTGCAGAATCTGGTCATACGTGACACGCAGGACATGCACGCGCAGTACAATGAATTCAATCCCTTCTATTGAACCCCAAACAAGAGTACGACGACGACGACGACGACGACGACGACGACGACGACGACGACGACGACGACGACGACGACGACGACGACGACGACGACTACTACTACTACGACGACTACGACTACGACTACGACTGCGACTACGACTACGACTACGACTGCGGCAACGACGACGACGACGACGACTACTCCTACTCCTACTCCTTCTCCTACTCCTACTCCTACTCCTACTCCTACTCCTACTACTACTCCTACTACTACTGCTGCTACCACTACCACTACTACTACTACTGCTACTGGTACTACTACTACTACTACTACTACTACTACTACTACTACTACTACTACTACTACTACTACTGCTACTACTACTACTACTACTACTACTACTACTACTACTACTACTACTACTACTACTACTACTACTACTACTACTACTACTACTACTACTACTACTACTACTACTACTACTACTACTACTACTACTACTACTACTACTACTACTACTACTACTACTACTACTACTACTACTACTACTACTACTATAGCTACTACTACTACTACTACTACTACTACTACTACTACTACTACTACTACTACTACTACTACTACTACTACTACTACTACTACTACTACTACTACTACTATACGACGACTACGAATACTACTACTACTACTACTACTACTACGACTACTACTACTACTACTACTACTACTACTACTACTACTACTACTACGACTACTACTACTACTACTACGACTACGACTACGACTACGACTACGACTACGACTACGACTACGACTACGACTACGACTACTACTACTACTACTACTACTACTACTACTACTACTACTACTACTACTACTACTACTGCTACTACGACTACAATTATCGCACTGCAAACAATATACAAGCCGACCCGACCAATTGTGTGACTACATCTACACATACGGACTACCGCCGACTGGCTGACACGCACTGCTCATTTCCGACGTCCTAGTAGCACCGGAAATGAAGCCACAACCACCACACATATACAACGATACACGCAATATAAGTTAGTATCGTACCTGCATCTCTGGCATCGTCATGGCATCCCGATCAATTGTCACATCATTATGCATGCCCGCGCTGACCACCGACTGTCTTCCCTGCTGCACGTTAGGATTGGCATAACTACTAATTATGAGTGGCATCGAATTCTACACCTGCTCACCGCAATGGATGTATGCCCAACTCTTCGCAATAAGACCATTCGGGCATACAACAGCACAACTGCTGCCCAGCAGCCTGTGCTTGTAGAATGTGCGCGGCTCGCTTCACAAAACACGCTGCCACCGTCCTGGTCGATTCCAAGAGCCATGAATTAACAAACTATTTCCCCGGATATAAACAAAGGCGTGCGCACCAGGGGGTAGGGGGAGGGGGGAGGGCTTCTTAGAAGGAGGCTGCTTCTGAGAAGGCGGCGGCCTCACATCTATGGAGAAGGCCGGCGCCTTCTAAGAAGCACTGGTGCTTCTGAGAAGCTCTCCCCCCTCCCCCTACCCCCTCTGCGCGTGGCCGAAAAAAACACACTAACGCGGAGTCAGAGCTCGCTCGCGTGCCGTTCGCATCACGAGCCGAGCGGAGAAAGCGATCGCGAAGCAGATCCGCAACCCCCATCGAGAGGGGTGGAGGCCGATGCGCCGCACTGTGCAGCACTGCACCGCGCATGCCAGAGCAGCACAGTTCGGTGGTTCAGAAGCCCTGGATCAACCAACTGCTTGGAAGGAGAACAAACACACAAACATAAACTTGTGGCGCTCGGCGGGGGTCCAGGCGCGGATCCGAGAGAGCCGCGCGGAGCGCCCAAAGTTTATGCTTCAATGGATGTTTCTTCTTCGACTGCTGACGTCTCACCTGTACTTCCGCCGCCTTCTGCCGACAGCCCCCGGAGCGCCCGCTGCCCTTGCACCTCTGCCGGCCTCCGCCGAGGCGGCGAGGAGGCACCCGAAGGCGAGGCCCTGTCTGGAGCGCATCGTCTGCTCTGGGAGATCCCTCCTCCTCCTCCTCCTCCTCCTCCTCCTCCTCCTCTTCCTCCTCCTCCTCCAGTGTCTTCTGCATCGCCGTGCCTACGTACAGACATCGTCGGCATCGTCGGCTTCCCACTCCGCGGCGTCCGTGCCCCGTCCCTCCTTCGCGCGCGGCGATGAGGAGCGGCGTGGAGCCGTTCTTGCTGATGGCATCCACATTCGCCTCGCGTCCCGAGCACTTTCACGAGCATCGTCTGACCGATCCACCTCCGCAGTGGCAGGGCCTTGGCCCACTGGCCGACGTCCTCCCCCAGCTGGGGGTAGGTGCCGTTCCCGCCGGGTTCCGCGAGACCCCTCCCCACCCCGGGGTGTGGGCTGGCGGGGCTGAGACGCTATGACCCAATGGGGATCGGTTAGACGATGATGATCTCGAGCTCCTCCGAACGCGATCCCTCATCAAGCCAGCTCCAGGTCGGCCGCCCTCTACAAGGCAAGTCGACTCAGCAGCAGCAGGGCGCTCTGCCCGACTGGATGAATCACCCGACGGCCCAGGCAAGACCCCTGCGATCACACATTGCACCTCCGAGAAACCGCTCACCGTGCGACCCATTCCCGATCCAAGGGCCAAGGGGGCGGGTCGTTGGGTACCTCCGCAAACCGCTGGCCACCACGCGCTGCGAAAACGCACCATCCGACAGCACTCCTCCTCCTCCTCCTCCTCCTCCTCCTCCTCCTCCTCCTCCTCCTCCTCCTCCTCCTCCCGGTATACACAAAAAACAACTGTTCCAGCATCAGGGACGCCCGGCCCAGGCCAGCTGGAGAGGTCATGCCCCGACGTGCTCCCGCGCGGGTGTAAAGAAGCACACCTTCCAGCCGCCTCGAAGCAGGCGCTCCCGACGGCGGACTACATTTCTTTGATATTACCAGCCTCGAACGTATCCCTATCCCTAAGATTGACACGCCAAAAGGCATGACAATCTTAGGGATCCGCCCTCAACAAATAAGGGAATCCCTAAGATTGGCATCGTGATGAGGAGGTGCCCAGCATAGGGATAGGGATATGTACCAGGCTGGTAATGATATCATGTTTCGTCCGCTGACCACCTCTCGGGGGCGCGCAAACATGGATCGGGGGAGGTGCCCTTCCCAAAATGCGGCCGGTGCCACCTCGTGCGGCGGCGGGAACCAGCGATTCCCCATGGAAACAGGACCCGTCGCTAATCCACGGCCCCTTGATCCATGTCTGCAGAACAGAAACAGAAACAGAACGTTCGAGCGTCCTAAGACGTCTCGTCCCGCTTGCGGGAACGGCGTGAATCATGCAGTGCGTAAAAAAATCCATGTTTGCGATCGCCTGAAAGTGCACACTTTCCCGCCGCCTTGAAACGACCGCCCCCAATGGCGGACCACATTTCTTTGATATCATCGTTCGCCCCGCTCCACGCCCTGCATTGAGCAGGGACCGACCGTCATGGCATTCCTATTGTCCTACCACGACTTGTTCTTAGAACCCAGAAATGTTCTAAGAACAGCAGCAATGTTCTTAGAACATAAACCCGACGCGATGAAACAAGACAGACTCCGCCAGAAATGTTGTGAGAACAGTTCGTGGAAACCACACAAGGTTCTTAGAACATTGTTTGGTAGGGCTAGAGGCGAGCCAGGACGCTTCGCCACTGCTTGACTGCAAGGCCTGCGCAGACGGAACCTCCCCCGGACGTGTCAGCTGACCCGCGGCCTCAGAGCCCGCCTCCCGGCAGCCCTCGCGAGCTGCCCCGTGGCCGCTGGACTGGTGGCTTCCCCAGAACGCCTGTGCCCTTGAATGTAGTGTTAGGTCGGGCATGTCCCCCTGCAGGGGGGTTTCGGCCGAAAAATCAAAAACGCTCAAAAACGATTCCAACATAGTCATAAAACCCCAACAACATCCCCTGACTATGTTTTGACGATGGTTGAACGTTCCTCCTGTAGATAAAAATCCACTATGCACAGCCTGTGCACAGGCCTACTATAGGCCTGTGCACAGCTTTTGCGTAGGCCTATGAAGATGAGGCGCAAAGGCCATGAGAAGGCCCATCGGTAGACCTCCCATAGGCCTGTCGATAGGCTATGCATAGCCCTGTCGTAGGTCGATCGACAGGCTGTGCATAGGCCTATGACAGGCCTATCGGCAGGCTGTGCACAACCCACCATAGGCGTATACATAGCCTATGCACAGAGTGTGCACAAGTCTCTACTCTGCCTGAGCACAGCGCGCGCGACTATACTCGAACACGCGGCGACATACCTAAGCACGGCCTATGCACAGGCCTATGGGCAGGCTGTGCATAGGCCTGTGATAGGCCTATGCGGAGCCTGTGTATAGGCGTGTGGTAGGCCTACATCCCCAGGCCGAAAGTTATTCCTCTTGGCGCTAAACCTCACGGTCCCACGCGGTGCACGGGCCCTCTGGGAAATCATAGCGGCGAACCAATGAGGGTCACGCGGATCCGATTCCCAACCTTACAACAATCGTGAAATCGTGGCGGGTCCAATTTCCGTGCGCGCGGATCCCATTTCTGATTTCCGGGATCCGAATCGGACCCTATTTTTCACGGCGGATCATATTTTCTTCCCCTTTTTGAATTTATACTATTAAATTCGTTCCGGGAACCGACAAGAATGGGATCCGTCGACCGCAGGCCCCCCCCGTGTGAAGATTATACGGGGGACGGGGGTGGTCCTCTTCGACGTCAAAAGGAAAATCTTTCGTCTTGCGTAAGTATCGGTAGGGTGTGTGCAGGTCCACGACAGGCCGATGCACAGGCCTGAAGTAGACCTATGGTAGGCCGGTGTACAGCCTATGCACAGGCCTGTAGCCTACGCACAGGCCCGAACCCAAGGCCCGCGACAGGCCTATGCATAGCCTGTACATAGGCCTGTGGTAGACCTGCGCACAGGCTGCGCCTGATCTGCAAGCTGTGAGCTCTGGGGCGGCGTGGACCAGATCTTCCAGAGGGAGAGGGCGGAGGAGGAGCAGCAGTGATCCATCCCCTCATGCCTGCCAGCCCGCCCATCCTCTGGCCCCCCAGGGCCTGCATGGACAGAAGCAAAGATACCACGATCGGGTTGCCGACGTACGACGCCTCGTGCAGCGCCGTGTAGCCGAAGGCACCTGGAGCGGCAGTGCATTGGATTAGGGGGCAGTCTTGGGGCGTCTTGGAGGCATGCTGGAAGCTATCTTGAACCACCTTGGGCTATCACGCGCGATGTCGCAGGCCATCTTGGGCTAGCTGGGGCCACCTTGGGGCCGTCGTGAACGCTGTAACGCCTCGCGAAACGCCCCCTCCAGACCCAGGGGGAGGGGATCCAGAGTGAGGCACGACAGGCGATTCAAGGGGGCGCTGGCGGTACCTCCTCCCGGGGCCAAGGATCTGCCGCCCATCCCCGAGGTGGCCAGGATTCGAGAGGACCTCCACGACTCCCTGGCCCATTTGGTCGCATCGCATCACAGCGCCGCCCCCCGCTCATTCCTGAGGGGCAGCACTGGGGTGAACTAACCTTAGGTCGGGCGTGTCCCCCTACACGGGGATTTTGGGCGGAAAATGGAAAATACTCCAAACATACTTATAACAAATACCCATAAGAGTAGTCACAAAATTGTCCCCTGTCTATGTTTACTAGTTTTGAATATAGCTCCTGTAGAGGGACAGGCCCGACTCCAGACTAGCCGAGGGGGGGAGGGAACTAGCCCAGGGGGGGGGAGGGGGTAACATCGACCTGGAAGCGACGATACATCGCCGATGGATCGGCGATAGGCCCACGCTAGTGAAGCCGCACGGTCCTGAGCGGGGAGGGTCATCGAGCCCATATCGGAAATCAATGGGCGATTGGGGGTCGGTGTGTCACCCCCGGGGGCCATACCCCCTAACGTTGCCCCCTGATCCCCTCTCTCCATCCACACCTCCCTCCCTCCACAATTACACAACACGAGTGCGACTCTCCCCTCTCTCTCTCTCTCTCTACCTCTCTCCCTCTCTCCCTCTCTCTCTCTCGCTTTCTCTCCTGGTGCTGCTCCTCCTGCTCCTGGTGCTGCTCCTCCTGTTGCCTCATCATCCTCTTCCGCCTGCTCCCCCTCCTCCTCCTCCTCCCCCTCCTCCTCCTCCTCCTCCTCCTCCTCCTCCTCCTCCTCCTCCTCCTCCTCCACTGGGGGTCACAAGTAAGAAGGTGGTGGTGGTGTACACTTTTGAGCCCCGTATCCTGATCCAATGTACCAAGCCCCCTTCTCTAATGGCGCGTCACGCGATGGGGTCGCTTTGGGAAGCCAGGTCCAGGACACCCCGCCAGGCGGATAGGAAAGAGTTCGGCGCAAATGGGAAGGAATGGGCAGGAGGGTTAGGATCTCAGATACGTCGCTGGCGCGCCCAGCTTGCCTCCCCATCCAATCTCTCCCTCATCTCCCCCCCCTTGCCCTCTCTCCACATCGCTCCTGAGGGGCAGCGCTTGGGCGGCTGGCCCCGAGGGTGCAACATCGACCTGGAATCGGCGATGCATCGCCGAGTGATCGGCGATAGGCCACCAGTAGCGCGCCCGCACGCTCCTATCGGCGATGCAGGGGCGCCTGGGAGTCGATGCATCCCCCTGACGCCCCCCTGCGCCCATCCCCCCCCCCCCCCGACGTTGTCCATGCTCCCACCATGCCTCCACCAACTAGACAACATGAGCGAACAGTACTCTCCCGCCTCCACTGAAGTTGCCCAGAAGACCTCCCGGCCCCTCCGCGTGCTTCTTGATATATATATATATATATATATATATATATGTATATGTATATATAGTTTATATATACATATACATATATATGTATAGACACACACGCACACAGGGTTTCAACCATTGTGTTTTCGCGTGCGCTGTACAATCCGATTGTTCCCGGTGTTCCAAAAGGGTGGTCTGCTGCAACGTGGGCATCACTTTCGGATCGGCGAGTGGTTCTCGCCGTTCAGAACGGCACTCTCGCCACAGCGCGGGCCACTCTTCTGGATCCGGGTGTTGCTTCCTTGTGGCCCCCCCCTCCTTTCCCCTCCTCCGCCTTCCCCTGGTCCTCATGTTCCTCCCGCTCCTTCCGCTCCAGTTCCTGCTGCTGCTGTTCGTCTCGCCCAAGCGCGGGCCACTTTTCGGAATCCGAGGTTTTCTTCATCATTGTCGCTCCCTATTTCCCCTCCTCCGCCCTCCTCTGGTCTTCATTTTCCTTGAATGTTCCTCTTTAGTTCCTGCTGCTGCTGCTGCTGCTGCTGTTCATCCTCATCCTGATCCTCCCGCTCATCCTCCTGCTCACCCGCCACCTACCCCCTGTGCACCAGCTCTCCTTTTCCGATTGCGCATAACACGAAATGGTCTTTCTGTGGGAATCGCAGTTCGGCTATGACACGCGTCCGCGGATAGTGCAAAATCAGCGCCATGGGAAGGGATGGGAGGAAGGGATAGGATGCCAGATGAGGCGCGAGCGCACCCAGCTGCCCATGTCTCCTCTCCGTCCTCCCTCCACTCCGCTCCGCTGTACTACGCTCCACTCCCCCCTGGGGATGTAGAGGTGAGACCCTCCTGCCGCTGCTCCCACTGAATGGACTCGAGATTGAGCCTGGTCTGCTTGCTGGCTCCAGTGCCCTGGGTCACTGGGAGAGACGGGAGCCAATGCCCCCCCTTGGCACCGCCCAGCAGCCCACGTCCTCCCGGAGGACGAGGGTGAGGAAGGGAACGGGGAAACCAGGAGGTACCGATACCGCTGCTGCCCCGACCTCTCCCGGGGTGCGCTCTGATGAGGATTTCGAAGCGGATTCCGCGGCGGCGACGACGGAGAGGCCCAGGAGGCTCAAAAAGGGGGAAACGCGGGAGGTGCAGCGGTATGGGTACCTGTTCCTCCTCTGTCGACTGAGAGGACATTGCTGCCATCTCAGGACATGACCCGCAGCAGCTGCACGGAAGCAGCACGATGGGAAGCGGCAGCCGATATTAAAAGTAGGAAGAACAACGCAAACAAAAAGGCGAGACAACGGCATGAACACAAACTTTTGGCGCTCCGCGCAGACTTCTTGGATCCGCGCTGGGCCCCCCCGGCGGCGCCTCTGGCGCCGCCCCTGGCGCGATCCGCGCGCCAAGGAGGAGAGCCCAGCGCAGATCCACGCGGAGGGCCATCCGTTATTGTTGTAGGCATGTGCGACATCGGAAGCCGGACGTCTGCACTTCTGAGGGCCAGTGTAATGGCGCTGCGACATGCAATCTGACAGGCAAGGCACCAAACAGGGAGAGGGCAGACCTTTCATACTGTAACAAAGATGATACATGCAACCATCAGAGAAACAGGGAGAGGGCAGACCTTTCATACTATAGCAAGGATGATACATGCAACCATCCGAGGGTGCCCCCAAGCAGAGCGGCTACGGACGGAAACGCAGAGGGACACCAGAACAACAAGACGAGCACGCAGGCAAATGTTTGGACTTGGTCCATTGAGCTTGCATTCGCAGGGCAATACTTGGGCCTCCCAGGCGGCCGAAAGATCACCGCCGACACCAAAATCTGAGACCATCCTCCCATGGTCAACGTCTTTTTATTCGGCGTTTCGACATTGGGCGGAAGGGAGGGGGAGGGGGAGGGGTCTGGCCATGGATCTCTGCTTAGCGCGACTGGTTGCAACAGTGCGTCCTATGGGGGAGGGGCTCCACCTGCTCGAACCAGGCGCCAAAAACAGCCAAGATCTACTCCATCTGGGGGATTGGGGGGGGAGGGGGGGGGTTGGGGGCCCGCGCAGATCGGCAAAATAACGAGTAGATGATACTAGAGAAAAACCCAATCAAGGCTATAGGGCTAGGGGGCTATAGGGCTATAGGGCTATTGAGCTATAGGGCTATAGAGCTATAGGGCTATAGAGTTGTAGGGCTTTAGGGCTATTGGGCTATAGGGCACCCCCGGGCACCCCCGGGCACGCCCGGGCACCCCCGGCACCCGGGCACCCGGGCGTGCAGCTTAAATCGGCGGCAAACCTAACCTAACCATATGAATCCGCTCGGACCCCTACAGAGGCAAGCCCTGACTGGGGAATCACCTGGTGGACGCCACCCACTGTTTTCGGTGTCGGTGCCCATGTCCAAGCCTCCAAGACTGGCGGGAATTCCCGCCAGTCTTGGAGGCTTGGACAGGGGGTTAACCTCGCGGGTCAGCCCCGGGACCGCCCGGAGAGGGATCTCGGAGAAAGCGGCGGACGGCGCGTGCGGCATCGGCGGCGCCGCACGCCTCCTCTCCAGGGGGGGCCCGCGACACGGCGCGAGCCACGCGTTATGTTCCTTCCATCGTACTTCCGGACCGCATGCTAGTAATAAGTTCGAGCACCCAGAAAAATGTCGAAGCAGTGTCGAGCGAGTGTCGCCCCCTAGGACCCGACACGGGAAAGCACCCCCCGAGTTTTGGTATTTACTTTGCGCTCGAACTTTTGTCCGGTGATATCAGGGCCAAGGTACGTTGGAACATCACAACTCTTGCGTTGGCCCTGGGGGGCACCCTTCGCGTTGAGGTTCGCGCCCCCCTCGACGAGCAGCCTCAGCAGGCCCGTGCTGCCAGAGTGCGTCGCCTGGCGGGCAGCGACGGAGCGGCCAAACAAAGGCGGGCCTTACGCAGGATGGTGTGTATCCGGAGCCGAACTCTATACACCGACGCGTTCTCCGGCCCCGCACTGCATTTCGCTCAAGACACTGGATCCTGGTGGAAACGGGATCCTGGTGTATACATGTGTCGTCGTTTCCCCAAGAACACGGGCAGAAAGTACACACCACACCACCCCGACGTCGTCCCCGATCCTCCAAAAGTCTCACGATTGAGAAACAGCCCGCCACTGGTACCGTATATGCTCCAGTTTCCGGGTGTGGCGACCTCACGCGGTGGCGTGCCCGCCCAGCCAGCGCGGCACGCTACACTGGAAGCGAAGGCGCTTAGGCGCGACCTTGCGCAGGCAGCTCAGCGCGCGAATGTCGGCGCAATCCACCCCGTGTTCTCCCGTCGCTCGATTAGGCAAGCACGCGGGCGCTCCACATGGCCAGCGCGCACGGCGTCCACGCATGTCCGGCAGGCCCCACAGGTCCGCAACGCGGTAGGGCGTGAACGCAGGCCGCCCCTTTAATGGCCAACGTTTCATGGCCGACGCCACCTCTCACCTCCTCGTGCGATCTCCTTCAGAACCTCCTCCACCTCACTGATTCCCTGCGCCCATCTGCGCACAACACCGCACACTCGTCGCACTCTTCGCGACCCTGGGAGATAGCCCCAGCCAGCCCGACCAAAGACGAACGGCGGCTACCACGACCCCTTTCGAAGAACAACATCAGCAGACAAAAAGACATAGCCGCAACACGCGGTCACATTGCCGCAGTTTCCCACCGTGTGCACGGGCTCAAATCGGGTGCGCATCTTTGAGCGCGTTTCTCCATTTTCGGCGACCATGGGCACTACAGGGGAAGGAGAGGACAAGGGGGGTATGATGTAACGCCTCCCCCCCGCCGTGCGCACGGCGGCAGTGCCCGGAACGCACTGGCGGGGGGGGGGGGGCGTTACGTTATAGAGGGGGGGGGCACGTTTTACGTCGAAGCGCGGCAAAAGCAGTCCGCTCGCGCGCTCTGGCGGTCCGAACAACGGAAAGCGCACGTGAACCGGCGGCAGGAAGAGGGGAAGACAGGCGAAAGCGGCCGCGTGGGAGGAGGGAGTGGAGGGCACTCACATGGCGGGGTGCGTCGCCGTGGAGCGGCCGTGGCGGCCGGCCAGTGCTGCACCCCTGGTTGGCCAAACACTGGGAAGTACGGAACCCACACTCTATCCAGACACTTTTTCCTGGAAGTAGCTCGATCAAGAAAAAACATCGATTTGTCGTAACGGCAAGTCTGTCGCAACGGCGGTGCCGCCGCGCAGAACTACTGCGCGAATCCACGAAAGCGATGGCCACTCCAAGAAATCAAATCTTCTGTAATGATGTTCGGAATTATTTGTTCTGGTATTCGCTCTCGTGGACAGCCTAGGGGCCTGTGAGCGCCCGGCTAAAGAATTCAAGCCAAAATGACTACTTACGCATGCAACTGTTACAATGCCGATAATAATGACGATCATGGGCACTACAAAGGGGGGAGGGGCCAGGGGGGGTATGATGTAACGCCTCCCCCCCGCCGTGCGCACGGCGGCAGTGCCCGGAACGCACTGGGGGGGGGGGTGGCGCTACCTTATAGAGGGGGGGGACACGTTTTACGTCGAAGCGCGGCAGAAGCAGTCCGCTCGCGCGCTCTGGCGGTCCGAGCAACGGACAGCGCACGTGAACCGGCGGCAGGAAGAGGGGAAGACAGGCGAAAGCGGCCGCGTGGGAGGAGGGAGGGGAGGGCACTCACATGGCGAGGTGCGTCGCCGTGGAGCGGCCGTGGCGGCCGGCCAGTGCTGCACCCCTGGCTGGCCAAACACTGGGAAGTACGGAACCCATCCTCCCCTGACGTCTTCGCGAGGGCCAGCGCTGGCCCGCAAGAGCGCGCGCTGCTGCCCGAGGCGCTGACGTGGCTGCCCCAACCAGGGCTGCAGGGCAGAGGCGTGCGGGGCGATCCCGCCCACTGAGCAATGGCGGCACTGCGGCTTCGTCGCCGGAGTCCACTCGCCGTCAAAAGGGGGGGGAGCAGGGGACGGGGGGAGGATAACTAAGAGGAGGGGGAGACGGGAGAGGGGCATGGGGAGGAGGGGGGCTGGACAGGAGGAGGAGGAGGAGGAGGAAGAGGAGGAGGAGGAGGAGGAGGAGGAGGAGGAAGAGGAGGAGCAGAGGCCCAGCAGAGGGCGCGGGACCGCCCATTCCTGCGAGGCGGGAGCCTACCATCCACACGGGCATCGCGCTGGAGGGGGCCTCCTCTGGCCGCGGCGAGCCGCGGCCACGCGCAGGAGCCACGCGCAGGAACCCCCCGAAGACCCGAGCCCCCTTTCCCGAGCCCGAGGCGGCCCCGCAGCTCAGCGCCTCGACTGTGCCTCGCCGCCTGGGTAGACGAAGAAGAAACGCCACAAACAGAAACTTGTGGCGCTCAGCGCGGATTTCTTGGATCTGCGCTGGACCCCCCTCCCTGGCGCGCGGAGCGCGCCAGGGGCGGCGCCGGGCTGCGCCGCCGGGGGGTCCCAGCGCGGATCCAGAATTCCACGGGGATCGCCAACAGTTTATGTTTATGTAGTTGTTTCTTCTTCAGTGAGGGGTGGGGGGGGGGGGGGGGGCAACCGCCGCCCTGGGCCCCCCCAGGGGGGGCGGCGGATGCCGATACCTTTTGGTTGGTTGCCCCAGGGGGGCCGCACGGTGTCCACGCCCGCCGCACGCCGAGATGAGTTGCCGGAACGCCGGGGACCGATCCGATCCCCCAGGCGGTGGTCGTGGAAAGGTCTCCGCCTCGCCCTCCTCCTCCTCCTCCTCCTCCTCCTGCCTCCTCACTCACTCCTCCTCCTCCTCCTCCTCCTCCTCCCCCTATCCCCCTCCTCCGCGACTGCCCCCCCCCCCCCCCCCGCGGATGCGGCCGCCCACCTTCTGCAGGAGAGTGTAGCTCTCCCTGTCTCTGTGCTTCACGCTCATGCCCTCCCCCCGTTCCGCCCGCGCCCGGCGGCGGCGCGGGGGGGGGGGAGTCAGAAGGGGCAGGGCTTTCTCAGAGGCTCGGGTCTCAGCCTTCCGAACGTGTTCCAGACCTTCTCCGAAGTCAACCACCCCCCCCCCCGCACAGTCGCTCCTCAGGAGGGGGAGGAGAGGAGGGGGAGGAGGAGGAGGAAGAGGAGGAGGAGGAGGAGGAGGAGGAGGAGGAGGAGGAGGAGGAGGAACGAGGAGAAGGAACAGGACGAGGAGGAGGATGAGGAGGGGAGGAGGAGAGGAGGAGGAGGAGGCGAGGGGAGAGGAAGAGGAGGATGAGGAGGCGGAAGATGGGGAGACGGAGAGGAGGAGAGGAGGGAGGAGGAGGAGGAGGAGGAGGACGAGGGCGAGAGGAGAGGAGGAGGAGGTGAGGAGGGGGAGGTGGAGGAGGAGGAAGGGAGGAGGAGGAGGGGAAGGAGGAGGAGGAAGGAGGAGGAGGAGATGAGGATGAGGAGGAGGAGGAGGAGGAGGAGGAGGAGGAGGAGGAGGAGGAGGAAGGGAAGGAGGATGAGGAGAAGGCGCCAGGGCTTCTGAAAACAAAAACCCCGCCTTATGAGAAACCCTGCCCCCTCTCGCTTCCCCCCTGGGCGCGCCGCCAACATGCAATGCAGGCGCCCCATGTCAACCATACGACAGGCTAGGTTTAGGTCGGGCATGTCCTCCTACAGGCGGATTTTGGACGAACCATAAAAATCCCATCAGCCCTCTGGGCGTAGGTGGTCTAGAGCGTTTCCTCTTCCAACCCCCTTCTTCCCCTTCGGGGAAAGGTGTATCCTTACTTCTTCTGACTAAGCACCCCCAGACCCCCACCTAGCCGATGACAACCCCGCAGTCCTAACTACACAAAGACAAAACAATATCAATTAGTTTCTCGCCAACGTGTCGCCGAATTGCGGAAATACATCCGGAAAAGGACGGAATGAACATCGCTTGGATAACCCTAGGCGGGTGGTCGCGTTCTACCTATCAAAAAAACAATTCGAAGTCAACGCTTCTCTCGACAACGTGGACTTCGTCGTCGACGCTGCGAACAATGTAGCAGGGATAAGACGGAATGAGCATCGCTTGGGTAACCCTAAAAGGGCGGTCGCGCCCTACCCATGAAAAACAATGCTGTCGTCGTCGCTGCGAACGGTGTAGCAGAAATTGGGCGCGGCGCGCATCGCGCGCGGACGCCTGGCCAACCCTACGCGGGACCCCCCGTCCTACCTGCCAAAAAACATCGCAACGTCGACGTGTTTCTTACCAACATGTACTGTCTCCTCGTCGGCGCTGCGAATCGCGCAGCGGGAACGGGACGCGGCGCACATCGCGCGGGGACGCCTGCTCGTCAACATGGACTTTATTGTCGTCGACGCTGCGGCCCGTCGGGTTGAGGAGCTGGGCGGGCGGCAAATCTTAATGCCTCAAGCAAATGCGGTTCGCCGCTGGCGCGCCCGTTGTCGTGTCCACGTGCGAGAGACTTTGGCAACAGTGACCTTTGGTGCGCACAAATCAAACCAAAATCGGCCCCTGGACCCCTCCGGCCGCGGCAAAGAGGGCCCCCCTCGAAGGTCAAAAAGCAGCGCACAAAAGGTCACCGCGGCGAAAAGTCACGCCCCGCGAATTCCCAAGAGGCATTCTCCTCTTCCTCCTCAGTTTCTTCCTCCCCTCCCTCTCTCCCTCCCCTCCTCCTCCCCCTCCTCCATGCGCGGCAGGAGCGCAACGATTGGCGGTGCAACACGCGTGGCTGGAATGAGCGCTGGACATGCTGTCGCCGACGATGCAACATGAGAGGCCGGAGCGGGGCGCGGCGTACATCGCGCGCGGTCTTGTGTCTCGTGGACGTTGCTCAATACGCGGCAGGAGTAGGACGCAGCTCATGTCGCGCGCTGAACGTCTAGCCGCCCACGATATAAGATGAGCGACAGGCGTCGGACGCGACGCAATTCCTTCTTATGTTGTGGGAGGGTGGGTGGGAGTGGACGGAGCCCCCTGGCTCGTTCGAGCTTGCTAACTAGACCCCTCCCCCTACCCCCTCCCCTGGACCTGGACGGGGGGGTTCGCGAGGGGTTGGAGCGTCCAAGATGAGCTCCAAGATGGCTCAAGATAGCCTGAGATGCCTCAAGATGGCTCCGAAGATGCTCCAAGAGGCCTGAAGACCGCCCCAGGATGGCTCCAAGAGGCCAAAGAGCTTCCTGAGGAGGCCTCCAAGAGGCCCACATCCTTCAACAACCTAATGAAAACCAATGAGTTGTGCCTTCTCGCTCTTTCGCTGCCGATGGCCCTTCGAGGCCTCAAGATGGCCCTAAGATGGCCCAAGAGAACACCAAAAGGGCCCCAAGAGAGCCCAAGGCGGCCCCAAGAGCGCCCAAGAGCGCTCCAAGAGCGCCTCAAGAGGGATCCAGGAGGCTACTTTTGGGGCTCCCGAGGGGGGGCGTAATTGAAGCTCTCCTCATGTTTGATCGATCTCCTCCAAGATGGCCCCAAGAGGCGCCCAGGAGGCCCCAAGAGGCCCCAAGATGGCCCCAAGGTGGCCCCATGTGGTCCCAAAAGGCCTCCAAGAGGACCCCAAGAGGACCCAAGCGGCCTCAAGAGGCCCCCCCGAGGCACCCAAGACGCCCAATAGTCCCTCAGGACCGCCAAGGGACCCCCAAAACGTTCCAAGAGGCTTCAAAAAGCGCCCAAGAGACATCCCAAGAGACTCCGAGAGGTATTCAAGAGACCTCTGGCCCTTTTGCTCGCCCTCCTCCTCCTGCTCCCCCTTCCTCCTCCTACTCTTTTGTTTCCTCCTCCTCCTCCTCCTCTGCATCTTCCTTCTCGCCACCCCCTCATCCATCCATCGAGCCTCCTCCTTCTCATCCTTCGCACGGCTCGGTTGTCCCCCTCTTTGCTCCCGCACTTCCCTGATCACTTCAACTCGCCGGGACATCGTTTCTGGATGGGTTAGTGGGCAAACGCGAAGCGTCTAGATTTCTTCCTCCCGACTCCCGTCAGCTCTCCTGGGCATCGTTTCTGGATGGGTTGGTGGGGTTACTTTTTGTTCGCGAGCGCAAACGGAAGGGCCGCGCGCCGTCCAAAGATACAGCTAACAAGCAGCAGCCTAA